ATATATATATATATATATATATATATATATATATATATATATATATATATATATATATATATATGTGTTAAGCCATAATTATAAAATATTAAATAAAATCATAATGCAACTACTTTAATCTTGTAACCATACATTTTCTTATAACTTTATTCTTGCAAATGAACATGGCTGCAAATGGCTGTGATACATAAAGTATGTGACAATGAAATAATTCCCAAAACTAAGTTTTAAAAGAATATAAGCACAATAAGAGGTTTGAATTGACCTAATTCTAAAAATAGTTTAAACCAAACCTTAAGTAAATTGTTTGACAGTGACTTGCCAAGGATTTTTAAAATAAAGAACCTAAAAATTAGATTATGATCAATAAATAAAGCCCCTAAATCTAGCATGCACTTGTGTAGTCAGGCCTATATCTGCAGACAGAAGCATCTGACACAAAGGAAATAAAGTGGGCCGCTTTAACTGAATACTCCTCCTCTCTCGTCCAAAACCGTGGGCTCTGATTTGGCAGGCGATCGTTTAGCGCTCCATTGAGATTGTCTAGTGTCAGTCTCCTCTATCCTCTACCAGCTCTTATTTATAGCCAATCCTGTTTCTGTTGATGTTTATGTTTCGAAGATTTCCATCAGATTTGTCTGTAATTGGCTCATTTGCTTTTCGCAGTTGCCCACATTACCGTGCGCTCTCGCCTCGTCTGTTTTTTTTCCCCTCACAGCTTTCGCAGAGGAAACGAGGAATTAACGATAGTAGGAGGAAAGCTACAGCTCATCATGTTTTTCCTTGAGTGTCTCTGGCTGGTGCTTAAAGTTGCTTTGGTTTGATCCATCGTGGAGATTTGAGTCTTTTCTTCAAGTGGGATGTGAAAGCATGTGGTTGTCCAAGCAAGGAAACGGAAGATAAGAAGAATATTTCACTTTGCCAATCTCAAGTCTTACTGTCATTTTCTTTGCAACTCTTGGTTCTATTGTCTCATTCAGTGTGTTAAGAAAAACAGAATCAGCAGCCCATGCGGAAAGCGCACTTAAAGAAATTGTTCATTCCCGAATTATCACACTGCTAAAAATGCTTTAAAGTTTTTTTTAGTTTTTAGTTCAAATATCAAAAAATTCTTAAATCAACCCCAATGTCATAAGACGTTAATGTTAGGTTAGATTTAGGTTGTCATGTGGAGTGATCAAAATTTAATGTTTAGCTAACATCTGAGGACAGCATTGTTTTGTCGTCCAATAACGACGTCCAAATGACATCGATGTTTGATTGCTTTTAGGTTGCGTGGGAAAGTGACCAAAATCCACTGTCGAGCAAACATCTAAAAGCAAGATCATATTGACATTAAATACTGATATTTATTCATCAGGTATGGCAAGCAAAATTCAACGTCTGATAGATGTCAAAGTTGTAACATCCACACAACGTCAAGCTGTGAAATCATTGATTTTCCTCGCAACGTTGGGGAACAATGTCAATCTGACATCACGTTGACGTCCTGTGCCTGCTGGGAATAAACATTTGGTCTACAAAAATATTTTTGTTTTGTTTTGAGAAAAAAGTCAAAATTAAATTTTAATTATAATGAAAATTTGAAATGGCAATACCAACTGTCTGAAAATTTACTGTGGTAAAGCTGAAACTGGTCTGAAACTGGTTGAAATGTCTTCTAGACATTAATGACAGCAAAGGGATTGCATTTTGACAATATTGTATTTTTTTATATCAAAACAATTGTATATATTATGTACAGAATTAGTATTTTATAAATATATAAATGCACAATTAGCAAAAAGTTAATGTAAAATAAATATAATATATAAAGTATAATATAATATATCTATATAATTATTTTTAGCCTCCCTGAATTATATATATATATATATATATATATATATATATATATATATATATATATATATATATATATATATATATATATATATATATATATATATATATATATATATATATATATCTATATATATATATATATATATATTATTTTACATACACACAGACAGATATAGACACTTGTAGATAGATATATCTCTCTTTATATTTATATATATTTACATATAAAAAAAAAAAAAAAGAGGTTTTTATTTGTCTAAATTCTAGAAAATGTTTCTTGATTTAAGAATATCTAGATATTTGTGCTAGAAACAAGACAAAACCCATATACAGTTGAAGTCAGGGTTATTTGCCTTCCTGAATTATTAGCCTCCTAGAATATTTGTCCAGTTCCTTATTAACGGAAAGAAGATTTTTCCATCAGATTTTTTTCAACACATATATAAACATAATAGCTTTAATAACTCATTCCTAATAACTGATTTATTTTATCTTTGCCATGATGACAGTAAATAATATTTTAGTGGATATTTTTCTCGACACTAGTATTCAGCTTAAAGTGTGATTTAAATGCTAACCTAGTTCAATTACTCGAGTTAGCGTAATTAGGAAAATCATTGTTTAACAATGGTTTATTCTGTAGACAATAGAAAAAAATATTGCTTAAGGGGGCTAATAAAATTAAACTGAATGCTTTAAAAAAATAAAAAGTTATTTTATTCCACTCAAAATAAAACAATTAAGATTTTCTCCAGGAGAAAAACAAACATGGGACATATTGTGAAAAAAATGTCCTGCTCTCTTAAACATCATTTGGGAAATATTTAAAAAAGAAAAAAGAAAGCAGGGCTAATAACTTTGACTTAACTGTATATATAAAACACCCTGTGTAAAAGATAATAGAGTTTAATCTTAAGTTCAAAATCATTCATTATTAATATTATTTTATTTCATTTCTACAGCTTCATGCGTGGTCTCTATTCTTTGATTTTTCTCTTGTGGAGTTTGCTCAGTAAGCACAGTTCTGTTCTGAATGAAATGTGATTGCTGCGATGCTTTAATAGAATCCCAGCATGCAGTTGTTCCACACGAGAACAGAGTAGGACCTGAAACACGCCTCAGTCATTTCATTGTATTCACTCTTACTGCTTTTTTTAATCTCTTTTTCCTTGCCAATTGGTACAGTCTGCATTGTTCGTGCTTATTTTTTTTTTTCCAGTGAATTAAGCGTCTGAAATATTTTTCAATATGTTTAATGCTGGAGATTACGGCATGAATTTGAGTCCTGACACAGGGAATCTGTGCCATTTTTTTTTAGGTGCAAGCACAAAGCGATTATAAGAGAAACACATGATGAATGTGATAAAACAAGTCTTCTCCGTTTTCCATTACTCCTAATGGAGGGATGGAATATTCTGGGAGTGATTGATGAAGTCAAGCGCTTCTTTTTGTCAGTTCATTTTTTAAAGGTCTGTCTCTTGCTTGATGGGTAAATAAGAAGCGTTGCGTGTTAAACGCTTGTGTTCCTCAAGCCACGTTTTCTCGATATACCATATTTTCCCTTAAATGTGCCTGCTTTACATATGTGCTAGTGATGTCACGGCTGTCATGTCGGGATCGTCACACGCTGGCGCCCCTGCTGAGATGGCTTCCTGAAACAAGCCGTAACACATTCCGATGTTTCATCATTTGGGTTCAAACTTTAGATCATATTAAACACATTTACATCTTTAGCTAGAGAGGGGAAATGCTGCAGACTACTATGAGGAAATATGACTTATTACAAAAAAGCTTTTTTTTATTATTACTTTTTTAGCACAGGATAAGCAGACAGAGTATTAGTGTTAAAGCTTGCTTGATCTCTTTATTTTATTTTTAATTTTTTTAATCATTTTCAATCAGTAATGATTAAAAAGAACGACACTCTAAGAGCCCTATCATACACTCGGTCTGTTGCTATTTTCAGACCAGTTCAACCCTAATTTTCACATTTTGTGCCACGTTGTTTAAATAGCAAATCTATTTGCATCACTTTTTGGACTCATGCGCATGCTGGTCTAAAAAAAGAGATGTGTTAAGGCGCATTGTTGGTGCGTTGCTATTTTCAATAACTGAAATAGGCCGTTCCAATGACCATCTAAAGGCTGGTATAAAGTCCAACGCAGTGGACGTTAGTTTGGTTCAAACACTTACACATTGCTTAATATACACATGATGTATATCACATCACAATTCACAAATATCTTTACATGTGATTTAATTAAAGGATTAAAATGTGCTAAAAATTATTATTTTCTTCATAAATATAAAAAACACTGCCTCCATGCCTTCTTCATGCCTCGATGCTTTTTTTTCAGTTCATTCATGACAATTTGCATTTGTATAATGTTATTATTATTAGCAGTATTATTTATTATTTACATATTTATACTTGTTTTTGTAAAAACATGTTTAGATTTGTACACCTGTCGGGTTTTGGAGGCATATGCGTCAATATGTCTTGGCATAAGAATACGACGTGTGTTTGGATAGAATTTGTTTTTTTGACCACACTTCGTTAATATTGTTTATTTATTCGTTTGCTGGAAATTAGTACTGAATTAATAAATACTCTTAAAACAAATATTTGCGCTTAACAAATGAAATTAAATATGTAGGCTAATAGATGTGATAACAGCAGTTTTTAATTTTTTAAAAACCATTTGAAGGTCAATATTATTAGCTCCTTTAAGCAGTTTTTATTGTCTACAAAACAAACCATCATTATACAATGACTTAAATATATATGTAGTAAAATATTATCTACTGTCTTTTATCTTTGTTATGGCAAAGACAAAAGACATCAGTTACTAGAAATGAGTTATTAAAACTATAATGTTTAGAAATTTGTTTCTAAAAACATTTTTTTCCGATAAACTATATGAGGGGGATAATAATTTAGGCAGACTTGTAATTCTGACTTCAACTGTATGTTAAGCTGCTTTGACACAATATACATTGCAAAAAGCACTATAGAAATGAACATGATATCAATTAAATGTATTTATTTATTTGTTTATTGATATTATTATTTTGTTTTTTTCAGGTTTTGCCTGCATCATGTGATCTGTTGCCATGCTATGTGTTAGTGTTTAAGCTGTTATCTCTGCCTGGCGATCACAGTCATGTGAGTTGTGTGGTGGGCTGGGGTGCATTTCCCATATGCGACTGCTCTCTTCAACTCCTCAAGGGCAAGTTCAAGACCCCTCTTTTGCGTGGCGGGCCGAACTCTTCACTCAACCAATTCCGCAAAATTGAGCATTTGCTCTCCACTGACCTGGACAACTGGCTATGCAACCTCTACTTTCAGGTAAGTCTTTAAACATACTGAACAATTTATTACTTTGAAGACATAAAACACAATAATAATAATAATAATAATAATAATAATAATAATAATAATAATAATTATTATAATAATAATAATAATAATAATAATAATAATAATAATAATAATCAATTGTGTGTGTCTCTAAGAGAAAGATTGTATAAGGTCCAAACTATAAAATCTAAAATCAGAGCCAAGATATAACATTTAAAATATATATTTTACTTATCCAGATACAATTGAGGTGACAACCTGATCCTGTTATTCCAGTATATAAGTGTCATGATTAACCGCAATCTAGCAGTTACAGATCACAGGAGAACTACAAATCCCATCATAGCCCTCACACACCAGTTCCAGTTTCTTCCTGATCTCACACCTGGAAGCTCAGACTTATTACCAAGACTTTAAAAACACCTCACAGTCACGCACGAACGCAGGCAGGCACGCACACACACACACACACACACACACACACACACACACACACACACACACACACACACATACACACACATGTTTGTTTTTATGAAAAGTGGGTACATTACATAGGTTTCCATTCATTTTATACTGTCCAAATCGTATATTGTATTGCCCTCACCCCACCCCACCCCTAAACCCAACCATCACAGGAGTCAGTGTGCAGCTTTACTCTCTGATTAAACTCATTCTGTAGGATTTATAAGCATTTTGAGAAATGAGGACGTCACCAATGTCCTCATATTTCACCTCCTTTTTGTAATACCTGTGTCATACCCATGTCATTATACAGATTTGTGTCCTGATATGTCACAAAAACACGTAGACACACACACATGGCTGAGTCTTGTTAGCTTGTAACTTTTGAAAGCATCCCTTGTCTTTGCCTTGTCTAGGGGGTATTTTTGACCATTTGCGTTGTTTGATTGTTTCCGTTGTTGTCGCAGTCTGTCCTGACCATTCGTCTGTTTTTTGACTACGTCTTTTTGACTAGCTGTATGCTTTTGTTAGCTCCTGTTTTGACCATTGCCTGCCTGACTAATCTGTTTAACTAATCTGTGTGGATTCTCAACTCCGTAGTCAGCACCAAAGTATAAATAGAATCTGTAAGCCACTAAAAGCACAATAAAATTCTACACATCTCCAACTTTATATATAGATTTGTTTAAAGTATGTTGACTATTTTGATATAGTGTTTCATGCCTTTTTCAGTTTTTTATGTTTACATCTGTTCCACAGCCATGGTATGCTAGGTCGCTAGTTTATAGGAATCCTAAAGGCAACAAAAACACTAATTAAACATACCATAGCCATCGAAGCACAGAATTCTGCACTGCACTCCAAACAAAATGGACAGGTTTATAATATACATAATTAATAAATATTAGGCTTCATTATCATCATTAAAGGTGCCTATGGCAAGTGATTGATATTGATGGTTTTCACATTTCAGTACTAACATTCCGCTGTGGTATTTATTTTTTTGCAAGATCTGAAGTAAATCTGTTGACGGCTAAAAAAAACGTCATGCATATTCTTCAAATTCACATTACAA